AACAACGCTACACATAAAAACTGATGATGGTGGAAAAATACACCGAAACGTATTTTGATTGATAAATAGAGACAATAAATGACTGAAACCCAGTAGTGAATTTGATTTGGAGTTGAAGCACAGTCCGGAAAGTATGTACAATTATTACTGCTAACTTACTTTGACTCCTGCTGAAAGTGATGTGGAACTTTTGCTAAAATCAAAATTTCTCAAAATATTTGAACCGCACATTTTCCAGAATCCCTAGAAGATTTCACTCTATTGAACAACTGGCGCATTTAATGAGATTTTTGTCCCTTCTTCGATCGAATGCCTTTTTTTTTGGTTGCTTTTCACCAACAAATTAATGCTGGAAGTTTAGTTCGCAAAGTTTAAACACCGTAACTTTGAAGCCAATCTCAAGCTAACGAGAATCTCTGGAATAAATTCGTTGGCTTTGGCGGTGGTTTCTTATGATTTTGCGTCGCATTTCGGACGCCGAAAACGCTTCTTTAATAAGTGGACGCTTTTGGAAAATTTCTAGTTGGGAAAATCGGCTTGCATTAGCAAAGAGGAGAACGAAACAAGACGTAAATGGGATGTTTGAGTTGCTTGTTCCATTTTGCCTGCGCGTGTTCAACATTATTTCCCGCTTCCTCAATTTTATCCATTCGAGCGACAAATTTCGCATTCTTAAGCTGTTTTTCCTGCACTTTTCAGGGTTTGGTACAGCGGGCTGTACTGGCTAATCCGCGGCATATCTAGGCTTAATAATCTCTGTGATAAACGATTGTTATGGTTAAGGGAACAATACTTGCAATTATACCATGAAGATGGGTACTGTTGCGGACCATTGGCAGCGGACGCCATAAGGGTAAGTGAAAAAATTGCAAAAAACTGCTCAAAAGCTCACGACATTGACAAAACTTACCTAAGTTTGAAACTGGATAAATTCTGATTGCTTAGAGCGAATTGATTTCTATTTGAAGCGTTATTTAGGGCAAAAATCGTTCGGGCTGCGTGTGGTTTTGCACAAAATTAGTGGGTCAGATGAAGAGTCTACCGGGTGGCAAAACCATGTCAAACTGGTCAAAAAGTTTCGCGGGTTCTCAGCTGGAAAAAAAACTGTTTTTTTTTATTTCACACTGAGGCAATCCTTTTGCCTTTAAAAACGTTTAGGAATTTTGCGAAAGAAAAACGCCAGTCACAGATTTGTTGGGCAATTCTGCTTGGGGTGATTTTTTAAGCAACCCCATATATTTATTTTCTGTTTTAAATTGTCTGTGAAGTTTTAGAATCAAATTGAGGTTGAGATCGTTAAAATCGGAGCAAGAACAGAAAAGTGAAAAAGTGATGGCTGCAAGCCCAAAAAATTAATTTTTTGAGGCCAACCTGTAAAAAGAGATGGCAGAAAAAATTAAAAACGGTTTCCAGTTATTTGGCTTATTGTCAAACTTTTGGGGTTGTGACCGAAAAAAACCTCTTTTTTGCCCAACTAAGAGCTTGCCGAACTTCGCAAAACCGCGTCGCGGAACTCAAAATCTTTCAAGCGCCAAAAACTCACCAGTTTCAAACAATTCTCACAAAGCCCAACTTCTTCTCGCCAGGCAGAAAATGCATTTTTTTCCTTAGTCTTTTGGAGGTAGAGACTGGTCACTAGCTGGGACAAAACCAGGCAGCAATCAATCAGGCGAAGCTTCCGGTTTGAGACGTGAGGTTTCGATGAAAATAAAAAAGAAGCAGATTTTGAGCAACCAGGCGTTCAAAGTGACCAAAGTAAGCTCGAAAAAACCCGTTGAAAATTGAATGAAATTGACGATGAAAATGCAATGTCCGCAGGACAAAAGCTTGAAATCGTCCTTTATTGAGCCGGCCACAATGTGCATGGAAAGCAGCTACTGGAGGAATCCAACTCATCATCGGCAATCGACTCCAACCAGCTTCGGAGCTGAGCACCAGCCGGACGTAGCTAGACATCACAGTTTGGGTCAGCTAGCGTATCCATCGTCCAGCAATCAGCCGAAGTTTGAAAGGTCAGCAAATCGCTTTCAGTCGATTGAATTGATCTAGAAGAGGTTTTCCAGGGACCGGCATGGATCTACTGAGCATTTATGGCACGGTCGACATCCGCGAGTTGGCTCAATTTTATATGATACTCAGCTAGATTTTGTAGATTTTGTAACGCTCTTTCGCTCCTTTAGGTGAGTAGTTTTCAGTTTTTTGCGGGCAAAACTGGTCGGGGATTTCCACCTATAATGGGCTTAGTCCAGGCAATATCTTGCATCTTTAATGCCCGGTTTCCGAACTCCAACATATCGGTTACATAAGCTTATGAGTCTCATAAACTACCAAAATCACGTATGTTGGGTTGCTCAACGTCTGTTTAAAGCTTATTGGCACAGATCACAGAGGTTGTAGATTGGAAACTGCCATATACGCCTGCAGAATGCTATTTGTCGCTTATCTCAGCGGCTGCAATCAAAACTAAACTCTAATTTCCACTACTGGCA